GAATCTTTTACCTGCTTCTTCTAGGAATTCAGATTTATGCTACCTGTTTCTCTTTTTCCCCTCTATTTCTATGACCTTGAATATTCCACTTTAGCCGTAGTTTTTCGTTCGGTCCCTTCTTCTCCTTGTTCTCCAGTGTGTTTCTTGTCGAAAGAAAAGTCGTCGCTGTTTGGATATTTCAAGCATTTGTTGCAGCAATCAAGGGATGGTATCTGCGGTACACGAAGTGCTAGGTAGTTCACCCTCTCTGTCTCTACCTCTTTCTCTCTTGAGGGACAACCACCCTGTGCTCACGTGCTTCTTCTTCTTCTTCTTCTTCTTCCACCTCCTCCTCCTTCCCTCCTCTTCCTTTCTCTTTATCTCACTCACTCACTTTTTTTTATGTCTATCTTTCCCTCTCGGTTTGTACCATCTCGTCATCTCTCTTTCTTTCTCTCTTTCTCCCTCTCGGGTTGGCTGAAAGAGAGAGGGCAGAGAGAAGGGGAGACACCCTTCATCCTTGAGGTGGGGTCCCGACCACCCCGCTGCTAGGTTCGCTAGGATCAATACCCGCCATCCGAACCGAAGTTCAAGCCATATTCTCTTTGCCTGCGCTGCCTGCTGTGGCCTGCCAAAACCTGCCAACTCTTATACGCTTCACCACTGTCTATTTTTCTCCATTTCTCTCTCTCTCTCTCTCCTATTGTTCTCCAAAGAATCATTCTTTCTTTTATTCTCTTCCTCTTATTGTTAGTACGCTAGTCTTTTGAGTAACTAACTACAATAAGATATAGCAAATACGTGAGAACAAGAAAAAGAAGAAAACTAATGTTTTTACTTTTTTACCTGCTACCTCCAACACATACACACACACATATATATATATTTGATTGAACTCAATTCCAGACTAAATACACGCGTTATTCGTCCTCGGGATATCTAATTTTAGTATCGTACACGTATGGATCAAATGGCAGTATTCCCATGTCGCATTTCTAATTTCGATTTGGACCTTTCTTTTCCTCGTGTGTGGTATCGCAGAGGTTTCCAAGATTTCGTTCAGTATTTATACGAAAATGATCAATATCATGAAGGATGTTCTAGGAATATTCGTTTTTGTTATTTAACAATCGATATTACTAGGTTATTAATTTTCTCGAATTGGCTAACATTATCTTTTGATTCGTCCTAGAAAAGACACATACACACACACGCACGCACGCATACAGTCATACATACATACATACATGTAGAAACACAGTTGGATATTTCCGAGAGATCATCCATCCTCTTTCTCTCTGGTCTCATAGTTATTTCATCGACTCGTTTCGCGTCGGAAACCTGCTCTTTCTTCCTCTCGTTATAGCAGCGAACGTGATGGCGCAAGAGGGGTCAGAGTCCGGTTGGAGGGCGGTGGAATTGCGAAAGGGGATCGTCAGAGAGGGTGGCAGAGATACACATAGAGGGTTAGAAGGCATGAAGGCTTGTTCGCTCGTTCGTTCGTTCCAGAGAAAGAGAGTGGTGGGTATTACTACTAGTTGGTAGTGGTAATGGTGGTGGTGGTGGTAGTGGTGGTGCGCACGATGGTAACGGATGGTAACCGGCTGAGACCTGGATCACGTGATGACGTCACTCTTGCGTTACCAGGATACCGAAGATGAAAGCCTAAAAGGAAACGTCAGCTTCTTCGAAATGTATGCATGTATGGATTTGGCAGCCATTAAAGAGAGATTCTTTGTCCTTCGAGTCTCCTCTCTCTCTTTTTCTCTTTTTCTCTCTCTTTCTTTCACGATGGTCGTGATGATGATGATGGCGACCATGACAATACACGGATACCACCCTCAGCTAGGGGTATACGATTTATCTTCCCTTCGAATTGCTTTCTGTTTCCATTCAAAACGAACTTTGTTCAGAGTGATTTTTTTTTCTGCTCTGTTGCTTTCAGTCAGACATTCTTGTTTACAATCGTTCTAAAGAATTCGAACGAACTAGAAAAATATTAAAATCCTAAAGAAACATGTGTTATCAATGTTACAACAGGAATGAATAAAACTTGGGCGAACGACAATAACCGTCGTTCCCAACAATTTTATATAACACGTTCTTAACCTTCGATCGGCCAAATGAAGTCAGAATTGAGGTCGTTCGAGCAGGATTGCTGCTACTCTTCCTTTCTCCAATTTTCAATGCAACTTCTTCGTCTTTCGTTCAATGATTGGACAACGGCAAATAACATTTGCGAGATTCTAAGAATATTTATTTATGGATAGAAAGACACCGTAGTTTCTTTTTGGGAACGATATTAATTATTAATTTAACCGAGTGACGAAAGAGGAACGTACGCGCGTGTGTGTGTGTGTGTGTGATATCCTGAAAGAGAGACAAAGACGAAGATAGATGAGCTATTATCAGAAATTGAATCCTGCAGTTCTCCTCCCACTCTCTCTCTCTCTTTCTCTTTCTGTCTTTGTAGATTAACAACTAATTTCAAAATAGATTTCTTTAACTAACGTAAAAGCAGCAGCAACTGAAAGGTGACGCATCGAATTCGTGATCCGACCTCGTTTCCTACACACACAAGCAACCTGGAAAACGCTACGTGAGTTCGGATCTTTTCAGGTATGAAGAAGAAGGCTCCTCAGGTCAAATAATGCATGCGTATTTTTATTTCGCAGTCCCTTCTAAATATTTTGCAAAGAGAATCACATCCGTAAACTAAGAACTACCAAGTTAATAGGAAATTCATTTTACGTACATTATTTATGTTAATTAGAAATAATTGTAGAAGAAAAAACCTAATCGGAATAATAAAGAAATAAATTAGATTAAAAAAAGAAATAAGATAAAAATAAATCCTTATAAAACAGAAGTAATAAAAAAGCCTACATCGTCATTAGATCCACTTGTTGATGATTAAAATATAAAACTAAGAGCCTTGAAACGTAAGCCATTATAAGGTAAAAAACACGGTAGCGCATCGTATAAAAAAAAGGAAAGGAAACTCGAAAAGGGTGGAGAATTGTAGTCTCGATACACAAGCGAAGTTTCGTGCACGTAAATACGTATTTTTCCACAGTAGTTTGTGGGTAAGAGAGAAAGGGAGGAAAAGGGCGGAGGTGTGGGACGAGGTAGATGAGGAAAAATAGGAGAAGGAGAAGAAGAAGAAGAAAAAGGAAGAGAAAGAGAACAAGAAGAAGAAGAAGAAGAAGAAGAAGAAGAAGAAGAGAAATAAGAAGAAGAAAAAGGGCGGTAACGCGCGTTTGTGTGTGTGTGCATGTAAGGACCGTCAGCCAGCCGACATCTGGCCATGGACCTTCGCTCGAGGGACTCCAACAGTACAAAGAAGGTCTTCCCCTTTTCTTGGAGGGGACCTTGGGCCTGGATTATATCGTTGTCTTGCTACGCCCTTCTTGTTCGTGTTCCACGGGTACACGCGTATTCATACACACGCATATACGCACACAGGCATCCATAGATACACAGAGCTGGTACCAAAAAGCGGAGTGGTTGGTCTTCCTGAGCGCGCAGAGCTCTCAGGCTGCACGCAACGACCCCACCGGTACCGTTTCTATGGTACCGTTCGCAGGGATTAACGCCCCTCCACCGCTCCACTTTCATCAAGCTGCGGGGTGGAAGCAGCCTTGGCCCGAGACCATGGAAACTGAATAGCCTTTGCGTGACGCGCGTCTAAGAATTCCACGAATTTATCTGCCTTATCCGTTTGTACTTTGTACTTTGTACCTATTCGAGAATTCTATTTCACTTTGTGATGTAGACACAAGCGCTCTTTCTCTTTCTCTCTCTCTCTTTTTCTCTCTATGGTTATCTATGAGTCTTTGATGTTTCTCTGACGCAAACTTTTTATATATCCCTCTCTTTTTCTCTCTCCCTTTTATCGATCAGCCGGAAAATATCATTCGAACCTTTAGATTATACTAGATTATTTCAGAATTTATTGACAAATCCTATGCACGTTCTTGGTACAATGTTGAAATATTTACCCTCCCTTTTTTTTTCTTTCTTTTACTCGTCCTATCTTTACCCACTGGACTATACTTATTTCATCGTACCATCCTCTTCTCTTTTCCGATTCCCCATGCACGAGGAGGGTGTTTCTTTCTCTAGAAGCACATCATCCTTTATGGTGGTATGCTTCAACGAGTATATGTAATGGCATAGTAGTAGTAGTGGTATACATAGCTAACAGCAAATCGGAACCAGCAGCAAACACGAACCATAGGAGAACATTGTTCAACGTGGTGGGGGAGAACTCTGGCGAGGAGAAGTGTACCGTCATAGAAAAAATAAAATGTCCGCCGTTTATGATCACACTCTCTCTCTCGTTATTCTTATGCGGGTATAATTTGCGCGGTTCTTGATCGGACCAAATGAAAATAGACAATTGGAACGAACGAGTAAGTATGAGCGATTATTGAAAAACTCATGTCGAATGAATGAAATTTATCTTCTTCACTTAATAAATTAAGCAAGCAGAATTTTTTATATAGTTGCTTGAGCTTTCCACCAAAGTCTATTTGGAAGTACCGATATTATTTACGAAGATTCAAATAAAGGCTTCATTGTTTATAGTTATTATAGAAACGAAAGGGAAAATAAAAATGAACCTTATCTCCTGTAGAATCAGGTATAGGAATAAAGACGATTTATAACAGAAATGATCATCCTGTTATCAATACAACCGCTTATTTGCTTGCTTACTTGCTTGCTTGCTCGATTGGTCTCACGGTCAATATTTCTTCCCCTTTGATTTTTGCGTTTTCCCCTTCCTGTTTCTTCGCCGTTAGTTTGATTGCACGGTTCTGAATACCGTCTCTTATCCGAGCTTTATCGGTAGATAAGCTAAATCTCAAATATTGTTGACTGACTAGCACGAAAACGAAAATAGCTGATACTTTTCTTTTTTTTTCTATAAAATTTTTCAAAAATATTTACGATTTCTCAATGAAAATTTAAACAATATTTATTAAATGTATATAGTTAATTGATTCAGAATTACTTACCATTTTATACTTCGTTTTATGATGTTACTGACGATCTTTTGAGACTTTCGGGTAGACACCACAGGAAGATCTTCGTTTTCCTTTTTCCTTTTCCTTCTATCTCTAAGATTCCTTCTTCTTCGTCGACAATTACTTGCAATTTCATTTTCTTCCTCTTCTTCGGTTTCGCCGGTAATCAAAACTTCCGTTGCGACAGATTTTTCAACCCATTCCGCGACGTGATCTTGTATCTTTTCTTCTGCCGATAAAGCAGATTCTCCATGAAGTTCCTCCTCGTTTATCAAATCGCTAACCGCTGTTGGTGGACCAACTATTCCAACTTCCAATTGTTCGTCGTTGCTTATTAACTTTTTCTGTTCAACAGATTCTTTTCTTAACTCTTGCTTTCCTTCTTCTAGTGAAGTTTCTTCATCGATATTAATATTATCCTTATTAATTTCTTTCCTTATCTCTAGGTGTTCCAGTACCTTCTTCTCATTCGTACTAGTCGTTATAGATTCCGTAGGTTGTTCCCTGCCTATGGTATCTTTCTCATTTGTAGAATGCGCTTCCGTTTTTACTTTATTTGATTTTTCAATTACCTCTGAGATCATTACTACATTACCGTTTTCATTTTCTGAATCCTTATTCTGTTGAGCTTTTTCTTTTTGTTTGATTTCTTCGACATCCTTTTTTACATTATTAATTTCATTAGTTGAATTGTCAATCTTTAATGTATTTTCATCAGTAGAACAAGATGGGCAAGAATTATCTTTGGAATTGTTAACGGTAACATCTTCGTTGCATTTTTTAAGCGAAACGAATGAGTCTGTGGAATTAGAAGACTTGTCATTATTATCTTTCTCCTTTTCTACAAGCAAAACTTCTTCCTTTGCCTCTTCTTTAGACTTTGTTTCTTCATTCGTTAAACATATAACATTTGCATTAACAGTTTCCTCTGCTTCTGCTGATGCTACTACTGCTACTTTCTTAATCTTAGCGGTATCCTCTGAACCAGCTTCTGCCATCTTTAACGTAAATAAACTTAAACTCTTTTTTCTATCTGAGATGACATTATATTCCACGAATGTGATATAAACAATCTGTACATTGATAAATGTACCAGATAACTTGTATTATTATTGTAGAGTCATCTTTGGTCATTTTATGGAACTATAAGCTGTCAACAGCTACGTTTCTTCACTGGTAGATACTTATCATATTGAATCTGTAACAATACATAATTTCTAATCAATTAGGATGTAATTATAAATTGCTAATAATTAAAAAAAACATAATTAACAATAACGTCCGTATATAAAAAGAGAATTTCTTCAATCCTGTCGATAATACAGATTCGATCGTTTTCTACTTTATCGCGCGAGTAAAAAAAAAAGCAAGGTTAGAATTATATGTTGCCATAAATAACGCCTTTTTATTCCGAAAGAGACGAACGACGAAGAAAATAATAACTTTGCGTGCGCATAATGATAAACTAAAAAAAAAAAGTAAAAGATTACTCCATAATAAATCCCCTTCTCTTTCATAAAAAAAAATTAATAACCTACTAATTTTTTCAACTGAATTAAGAAGAATATTTCATTCATGCACATACATACTTGTTCAATAAAATATCGATGATACAATGTTCACAAAGTTTTAATAAAACAAAGCTTGCATTGAATGATCAATAAAGATGATTTAAAAAAAGCCTTCAGCAAAATAAGAATCTTCAATATTTTTCTAAACCAATGTCATCGTCTAAAAGTCAAGAATTATATGTGAACGATGCTTCGACATAAAAAAACATATTTCAGATATACGCAATTACGACTCCATTATAGAAACTTACATGCAAGATTCCATGGGCTTCTTCGCGTATCCCACAGCATATTGTCTTTCTCTTTCTCTCTCTTTTCAACGAGTTATCGACTTCATCAAAAGGTTAGATAGTTAGACTCCGATATTAATGGCACGTAATAATTATTACAATCGCAACTAAATTTCCTTTTTTTTCTTCTTATTTACGCTAACGGATTACATCCTCTTCATTTTCACCATCCTTCGCGCACACTTATTAAAGATCTGCGTCATTTATTTCTCTCTCTTGCCGGTTAAGAAAATCACCGCTCTACGACGTTGCTGAACCTCTCGTATATACATAACCTCACTTTTTAAGCTTATCCTCCCGAAAGAAGGAAAGAGACAGAGATAAAGAGAGAGAGAGAGAGAGAGAGAGAGAGAGAGAGAGAGAAGGAGAGAAAAAGAAAGAGACAATCAGAATGAAAGAGACAAAAAATAGAGTTTGCGTATGAAAGAGAGAGAGAGAAAGAGAGAGTGGAGAAAGATGGATAATTCAATCAAAGTAACACACAACAATGAAACTGGTCTCTTTGAATGAGACAAAGATAGAGAGAATGTCAAAGAGAACGGAATAAAGGAGTAGAAGAGAAGGTTGGGGGGGAAAGGAAGTGATGGTAGATGGGTGGGTGGAAGGGGATGGGGGGGGGAGGTAAAAAGGAGAAGGTAGATTACATGAAAAGGGTTAAACAATATTTTATACAAGAAAATAAATGTTAAAAAGCATTTGACGTGTAAATCACGATTAGATTTCGGGTGTCAATCAAAATTAAGCTGATATTTGAACTGTTCATCGATATATGATAATAATTGTAATAATCACGATTAGACACGGTTAAATATTAAATGTCAAAATATCTATATCACGAGTATATTATTTAGCTGTAAAATGCACGAATAATCAAATAACAATAGTCGAGAAGAATAACGTACAACTGATTAGCTGACAGATTGTCTGACTGACTGACTGATTGACTGACAGAGTCAATGTCACACGCCACGATTGTATAAAGAAATAAGTAAGTTGTAAGTACGTCAACGTACCGACCGAAAAAAAGGAACCCGCGATCTTTCTTTCTCCTTCTTTCTTTCTCTTACTGGGTGAAAGAGGCTAGTGACCCCTAGTCTTCTCGAAAAGCATAAACCCTACACTAGAAAGTTTACCTTAGAATTTCTCTCCGTTTCATTGAAAACGCCTTTTACGTAATCCTCCTTTAGTCGAATCCTACTAAATATTCGTTAATCTTCGTTTTAGTTTTATACTCGCAGATTATTCAAACGACACGTCCCTTCTCTTTTTTAAACGAATTTTCTCTTTTACAGTTTCCTTGACGCAATGCGGAGTATAGAATATTTTATATATCGTTCGTTGGCTTCGCGGAATTTTTCATTGAACCAATCGCGAACGTTGACAGATGACGCCACTAACGCGCCATTATTTGAAAATACGAATTTTACATTCTACGAGAAGCCTGGTCTTCTTTTTGTACTCTCTGTTCCCTCTTTTTTTAAACATGTAACATTAGAAATGTGTTAATTAGCAATTGTTAACACGGTTTGTTGAATAATCTGTCAGACGTAAAAAAGTGAAAGAATGTTGCCCATAGTTGATCAACGGAATTCTAAGTGGCGTTTTATGTGTTAAGAGTAAGGTAGTAAGCGTCGTTGAGAATATACTTACTTTTAATTTATTCATTGACATTTTTTTTTAATCTCGTTCTACTGTATAAAAATAATTGTTTTCCTTTTTTTATTTTTCCCGATTAAATGGAATTATAACGTAGTTATTTATATACCTGTTTCTCATCAAGGCTCTTTAGATCGGCTTCGGGGAATGTTGAGGACACACGGAGTACTATCCGATCAAGGTCATGTAAAAAGCTAGAAACTGCATTGGTCTCATATATTTACAGATTATTCATGATTCATAATCAATAATAATAATATCGTTTATAATATATATATATATATCAACAAAATAATGTTTTAATCATTCTTACGTCGCTAATAGAATCTAAAGGCTAAACAGTCAAGATTGATCTAAAAGTTTTCTTTCTCTCTCTTATTCTTTCTTCTTTTTTCTTCTTTTCTTTTTTTATTTCTTTTGCTTCTTTCTCTATTCACAAATCATTATCATTATCATGATTCGTGAATATTTATGTTTCAGCTACCTAACAATAAATTAAACAAACAAGTACAAATCTATACATCCCACGTCAAATTTTATGGTTTACGTGGTAGTAAAAATGGGGTGATGATAATAATAATAATAATAATAATATTAATAATTATTAGTTTTCGTCCAAAATTGCAGTTAACGTGAAGCCATGACATGAATTACTATTAATCTTACGTGAGAAGGAAGTTGAAAGAAACGGAATAAAAAAGATAATAAATAAAAAATGAAGAATAAAAAAGAAAAAAATTGAAAGGTCTACTTAATTATTTCTGCACACTATATCAGTAATATCAGAATAAGACGTATCTATGCATATGATTAAAGGATTGTGTTAGTCTAGGATACATATCGCTGCATCTGCATTAATTTCATTCATGCCATATACGAGGGCAACCTGTTACCTGCAGGCTAATGGACACAGACTCGGACATTCAATGTTTTATCTATTTTTTTTATGCTTTTCTTTCCTTCTTTTTCTGTTTGTCTATTTGTTTGTATTTGTACGCGCGCATATACAGGGTGAGATAAAAGTCGTTTTCCCAAAAATAAAACTTTAAACAAACTATTATTTATTTGCATATTTTTATGTATTAACTCCTCTGCATTTGTTCACATTAATTGTTCAAATTAGTGTCCATTGTATACTGAATACACAACTCATATCGTTTTATTACTGATTTAATTATATATGGCGAAACACAATTGAGGGTTGCGCGCCTAATTGTAAGTTCTAGCGTGACTTTGTTCTATCAACTATTTTTTAACTTATCTAAATCTTGTGGTTTTTGTGCAAAAACATTTACCAACAATACCGTTGTCATAGTAACCGCATAAAAAGATATATTAAAATATCAGCCGTTTGTACAGTTGTAATCGCATACATCATTGCACGAACAAATTACTTGTATTAACGAATTTCTGAGCAAAGCGACTTTTATCTTACCCTGTATATTGTAATAATAACGCCACGTGTTTCTATGATTTATGTTAATCGATCGGACATACGGATACGGAAATATGATTTCTATCAATCACGATTTAGTCGTGCGCATCGTGCGTATCCGTGCCACTTCGTTCTATCATTTTCTAAATAATGATAATACGTCCATGTGTGTACATGATGCTGCTTTTTTCTTGTATCTGTGTGTATGTGTGTGTTACATCGTATAAAATATTTTACCTACCTAAACAAACTATCTACACGATTTTTTAATTAATGCTTCTCATCCGCTTTTCTTTTTACTTCACTTTTGTCTTATCTTTTTGTTCGTTTTCTTTTTTTAAATCTATCGAATAGCACCTAGCCTCGTCATAGGACGCTTACAATCAACATTTTTTTACGTTTTCCTATTCCATTTTTTTTTATACGCATATATATACTTATATCAAACAAATTAAACGTTTTAAAATTTTTCGATTATTCAATGTCGTGCAGTTTAGCGTTTCTAATCGGATGACGCAAACGCATCTAACGCGTTAAACGTATGAGCGTGTATTTTGTATTTTTTTGCTTTTCTTTTCTTAACGATTTCTTCTTTTTCGTTTCTTTCTGTTTCCTTTTTTTTTGTCTTTAGAAATATACAGACGGATAGATAAATCTGTTATGAGTGTTCTAGAAAATATTATTTTAAGATAACATAAGTTTTTAAAAATAAGATATACGACATACGCAGATTATAAAATATTTCTCTCTCTTTTGTTTCTTTCTTTGTTTTTGTTTTGGATCATTTTTAATTTAGAGAAAATTAATCGGAGTCGAATTTACAGCGATTTAAATATACGAAACTACGACAGGCACGTACACTTTTGGCTTGAACACCCTCGCATGGTATAATATTTGATTTTAAATAATCAAATTATTGTCGAATATTTCAATACTGTGTTAATTCGTTCTATTTCAATGACTTGGCGCGCATTCTTAACACAAATTGTTTTCACTAATTTTAATATTTATATTATTAATCGATGTTATTTTTTATTTTTATCATTCTGCAAACTCGACTCGTTCGTACTCGTAGAGTCTTTTGATCGACTTTCGCTAATTATAATGATAATTAAATAAAAATCTGATATATTTCGTTATCGCCCTGATGATTTATGGGATGGAAATAATAGAGAGAAAATTTATTGCACGTTTAAATGATACGCGATCTTTGTAATCTTTAGGTAAATGTATTACATGATATAAAAAAACAAATCTCTAACAAATCTAACGAGGACGATATGTAAATTATTCGAACGTAACGAAAGAATCTATTGCATAGATCCTCGGAAATATTAATTAATCAATCAAATACGCCTTATATGAAAAAGGATATTTAATATATTTTATCGTAACGACGAATAAAACTAGATCAAAAAAGAACAAACTAACGGTAACGAGGAAATATTTGAAGTACAACAAAAGTATTCTGAATAATCACGGCGTATTATTGCACTGTTGTCCCAACGAATAATATGAAAAAAAAAAAAACAGAAAATAAAAGTAAAAAGAAATTAACTGCTGAGAATAACAATGTCACAATGTCAAAGATCGTTGATCAAACATTATTGATCGATTTAGCTACGTTTGTGGACGTTGCATTAAAATAATCAGTACTCTTATAAATACATAATCGTTCCTACGCCAATGATTTCCTATCTTTTATAACGCTTTAGGTTAGAGTTGAAAATCGTTTCAATTTTTTTTTTTGTTCTCTCTCCTAGTCGAACAACATAGCAAATAGTTTTTACTTTCCTATCTCTTTTATGCATTAAGATGGATGCTATTGGTTAAAGTCGACCATTGGTCAAGGTTATGGTCTTAACGGTCAGGACGCTAAAGTAGTTCTATGCCACGATGCATGTTGATGTTGTTGATGCTGATGCTGATGCTGTTGTTGTTGATTTTGATGCTGATGCAAATTTTGATGCTGATGTGGATGTGGAAACTGATGCTGATACTGATGTTGCTGATGTTGCTGCTGGATTTGTTGCTGTTGCTGTAATTGCCTCTTCTGACTGAAAATGAAAAACAGAAACGTAAAGTAATGTGTTCTGTTAGTCGTCAACATTAATGTTTAATCCTACACATGTATTTGTATGCACAGTAGGCGTTCCATGCAATAACTGGACTCAAGGCTGCATTATATTTTTTTCACTCTCTCTCTCTCTCTCTTTTTTTCTCTCTCTCTCTCTCCTTCTATTTGATACTACGGATTCCAATGAATTATAAGAATATAACTTAATTATTAACATCCTTGTAATTTGACGAGATCAAAGGAACGTTTCATTAAATCGTTCGGGTCTCATTACATTTTCTAGTTGTTCATACGAGAATTTATATCAAGGATACATAAATCATACATGTATACGAATACATTTATACTTTGCCTTTATTACAAACTACCTAGATTTCTTTCTCTTTTTATTTTCCTATTCCTTTTTTTTTCTTCTGAATTCTACTTTTCTGCACGTTTCAGTGGCAATACGCGAGAGAAAGAGAGAGAGAGCGAAATTGTAAGCGGTTCTTCATACGGCCTAGCCGCATTCATAGTTTGTGGGACGTCCGCTATCTATGCGGGTCATCCGTATACGATCTAAAATGTAAGTACGTGACACTAATTCTTAGGATACCCGTTATAAATCTTTCAAAGTTGTAGTAATGGTAATAGTAATAGTAGCAGTAGTGTTAGTAGCATAGATTTGACTTGTTGCGATCTAAAAATGTCGTAGTTTGTGAACACCAGAAATTCTTATCGAAATCTCTAGCTCACTTCCACATTCAACGAACGATATCGCAAATCGTATTTTAACGTATCGCTTAGGAAACGTTTCTTTTAAAATTCACGCTTATTTTTTTCTACTTTCCCCTCTCTTTTATTTCAGTTTTACTTTAAACAGAAGGTAGGAGGAAAAAGTTTTCGATCGATAAAGAGAGAAAGTTGGTCTATAATCAATCAAGAGAAAATGATTTATGTAGGAATAATAATACTCTCTCTCTCTCTCTCTCTCTCTCTCTCTCTCTCTCTCTTCCTCTCTCTCTCTCTTTCTCCTTCTATCTCTTTTTCTTTATTTTTTTTCCGTTCTTCTTGCTTTTTTCCAATAAAAAAACATTGTATTCGCGGTAGGAAAGGGACTTTGTATAAAAAAAAGAAAGAAAAGAAAAAAAAAGGAAAAAAAAAAGGGAAAATAGAATCCGTCAAACCGCATCCGTCCGTTTTACAGCGTGCACCTATCGCGTAATAATCTACATGCACTCGCTCGGTATTATTTGAAATATAGATAACGAAGTTTCTCAGACGACACACAACCATAGTAGTCATAGTGGTATGTTGTAGTAGTTGTCTCCTCGTAGCTTTGGTAGAAAGGGTACTAACTCTTATGAAATATGAATTCTTCGATCGAAGATACTCCGAGAAAACTAGTCTGTCATACAGCGGCGATGGCGGCAGGGGGGTTGGGGTGGGGGAGCGGGTCCGTGTGTGTTCCTAAGCGAATAGGAAAAAAAAAAAAAGAAAATAAAGAAAAAAAAAAAGAAAAGAAAAGAAAAATAAGGTAGCTAAATGTAGTGACGATGTATTGCTTAGAAGAAGCCTTGCTTGAATCTTTCTAGAATCGGCATAAAGGCAACCATTATGAATGCGAATAACGTTTATCTCGTAGGAAGAAATTCTCTTTTAAGAACTTAAATTCCATCTTTTTAACGAGAAATAACGAAGAAGTGATCTTATTTGTTTTTAGCTTCAATTCATTCTGAGCGTTTAACAAACCTGGCAAACTGTTGAAAAGAGAATACTATCGTTCGAGACGCTGCAAGTAGGTACGGTTCGTGCTTTTCAGAAATTTACCCCCCACCTTCCCTATCTCACTCTTTCTCTCTCTCTCTCTTTCTCTTTCATTCTCTTTTTCCCTCTGGTTGTTTTTGCTCGAGGAAGGTGCCTATATTACGAAACCTTGGTGGATCGATGTCTATATATATCCATGGAAAGGGTGCTCTTACCGGTCTCTCTCACCGAGCTATTTTCAAACCACTAAAATTGCTAATATTTCGACCAATTATTTCGTGCTTTATCTATAAATATACATCCCTAAAAGAAAAACATTCAATTTTCCCAATAACAATAACATCTGCAATGTAAGAAATCACATGGAACGTAGTGAACTAGCTAATCGCTACTAAAGCATAGTAATATAATAATATCGAATATTCTTCACGAGCGAGCTAATATATTTGGAGTTGTGAAAAAATGCCGAGTTGGCGTAGAAAACTTGTATATCGAGTATGAAGCACGTGTGCGGAATGGTCACGTGGGGGTATAACCTTCTCGTGAAATATCAACCCTCGTATACGCCGAGATTTGTTTCACTTCTTTCAATGGGCTGAGCGAAAGGGAGGGAAGTAATAGGCGAGAAGGGAAATTCTCTCTCTCTCTCTCTCTCTCTTTTTAACTCACACACTCATTATCTCTCACTTTCTCTTTAACGCATACATTCATTCTCTCTCTTTGTTTCTCTCTTTAATTCCACGCACTCATAAACTCATTCTCTCTTTATTTCTCTATCGCTTTCTAACTCATACGTTCATATTCTTTCTCTCTCTCTCTCTCTCTCTCTCTCTCTCTCTCTCTCTCTCTCTCTCTCTCTCTCTCTCTCTCTCACTTGGTTTCTCTCATACAGTCATTCTTTTGGAAGGAATCGATGTACGTGTATTGAGAGTACACGTGTAGTAGGGAAAAAGAGCGTGGGTGGATTTGTGCGATATGGTGGAATGGGTTTGGGTTCTCGGCTCACCTCGGCGAGGAGTGACGTGGTGGCCTCAGCATGCGAGAGAATGTGATCTGCGCACGTGCGGAGCAACGCTACCTCGATCGATCCTCCTCGCTGCAAAAAGCGTCCTCGCTAGAACGACGGAGTATCGGTATTTTCGTAGCTATCGGTGTCCCTCCTATAATTTTACAATACCACTACTAATGAGCCAGATCGGCTTGATAAATAAATAGAATATATAAGAATTGGAAGATGAAGTAATAGTATAATAAGAAGAAGAAGAATAAGAAGTAGTAGTAAAAGTAGAAGTAAACTGTTATCAAATAATTTAAGTTTTTACCGAGAAAAAGAACTTTTTTTTTTTCTATATCGCAAAATGGTCGTCGCAAACGATCGGACTAATAGATAAATTGCAAAACGATCTTTCTACCTAACGTATCGTTACAAAAAATTGTTCCTATTATATCCCTCTCTTCTCTTTCCTTTTGTATTGGAAAAATTATCCTTTATCGTTTTAATACGATTTTTATAAACGTTCATCGATTTTCTTTCTTTCCTTCCCTTTTTTTTTTTTTCTTTTTGTTTATAAGAGAAAATTATCTCGTGTAGTTAAGATAATAAGATAAGTGTTTTTCAATAGTGAATTATTATGGGTGTATTGTAAAGTCTAATCAATGCTTGGGAGCATTGACCTAAGACAAATAAGTCAAACTTTGTCTATGCATATGGATAAATGAATAAGATTCATTCTAATAGAATTGTTTATCGTTCGTTCTAACAATAAGTGTATATATGATATGGGCATCGATCCGTTAGACCACCACTCAATTCCTCATACCAAGGTAGAAATCTCAGCGCAACGAGGGGGAGGGTAAAATGACTTGCTTCGCGAGTCTACCGTCGTCTTCTTTTCTCTTTCTCTCTCTCTCTCTCTTTCTTTCTTTGTAGACATTTTCCCTTTTTGCCCCCTCTTCCTTCCTTCTTTCTTTCTTTCTTTCCTTCCTTCCTTATTCTTCCTTCCTTTCTTCGTTATTATTCCTCAAGGCCGGCCGGTGTACAAATCCTTCTTTCCAACCGTCTCGAACATAATTCATAACTTTATCGATCGAACAGAAAACGAGAAAGTAAGCAAGCAAGCAAGAAACCAACCAACCAACCAACTAAGGGAAAGAGAGAGAAGAAAAAAAAAAAAAAAAGAAAGAAAGAGAATCAAATAATACTATTCACAATCAGACGTATATGTAACGTAGATGAAACCAACCAAAGGATATCCCGTAACAACGATGGACGATCTTAAGAACAATGAACACGACTCGTGGGCGTGATAAAAATACATTTACAAAGGAGTGTATCGACCTTCTTCATCGACCATTTTTCTCATTCCTTCCTTCTCCGTATTACGTTCTTTCAAGGACTTCCTATCATTCTCTCTTTTTCTTTCTCATTTTTAATACTAATGGGATGAAAATGATCGTCCCTCACCGGTTAATAATATTTGATTGATCACCATCTATTTTGGGAGACGACGACGACGACGACGATGATGATAATGATGATAGTAATGTTTGATTTAATATTCCTTTTGAATTATGAAAATAGAAGATTATCGTATCAACCAACACTTCCTTGTGTCATCTTAATGTCCTTTTTCTTTTTCTTTTTTTTCTGTTTTGTTATCCAATAAGAAGTAGAGTCACTCTAATTTCTTGCATGTTCTACCTTGTAGGAGGTGTATGTCGTATGTAAGTAAGTACTACCTGAATATATAGAGTCATGAACGATGCATTTATATTTACATAGGTGTGTATATTATGTGTGTGTGTTTGTGTGTGTGTGTACACTAACGGACAAAAGTACGGAATCGTTTGCCGATTACAATAAAAATCGAATTTACTGATTAATTTTGAAACGATTTATCGTTGAATTATATTTTAAGAAATTCTCAATATCTTTTTAAGCTCATAATACTTTTTCTATAGTTTTTATACTCGTGTCAGTTTTAAGGTAATGATAGAAAATCATTTTTTTATTGAGACATCTTTGTCGACTTTGGTGAGAAAAATAGAAAAATATTTATTTAATTAGAAACCGCTCGATAAAATTAATTAACCACGATAGCCAGAATATGTCAGGCAACCTATGATTAAAATGATTAAAAGTGAAGGTAACTTTTTTTTTCTTACGAAAAAGCAATTTGAAGAAAACTACTCGTTAGTTGATGAAAAACAACAACAACAAAAATAATACAAAAA